TTAATTCAAACTGGGTAAGGAATATTAATGCTACACTGGGACATGATCTAATTAAAATAAAAAAATTATCACAATATGGAAAATTGGAATCAAAAAAGTAAAACTCAGACTATCTGAGATTTATATTCAAAGATGGAGAGAAGAACTAAATTTCAGTGAAACCAATGAAAATAGGGGAACAAAACTGAGAACATACAAACTATTCAAAGTAAGTTATAATATGGAAAATTATTTGCAAAACATTTCAAATTTCAGCCTCAGGAAAATGCTTTCAAAATTCCGTCTGAGTGACCACAACTTAGAAATAGAATTAGGTAGAAGAACAAAGCCCAAAATAGAATTAGAAAATAGACACTAAAGCATTAGGAGATGAAAAACATTTCCTGATATTTTGTACTTGCTATATAGAACAAAGAAAAAAACTGTTTGATGAGTGTTCAATAAATATTTACACAATGGATGTGAATTTAAAAAGATTATTGAGAATAATATAGCTTTAGCAAAATACTTAAAGAGCACAATTTTTAAAACCACAGAAAGTAATTAATTTCTTTTTTCTTTTATTTTACTAACATTTTATTTTTATCTCTTATGTATTGTATGTTTTTTATTTCTTTGTATTTATGTTCCTTACCATACACAAACCCTCTGAAGGTTTTTAGTAGTGTAATAAAGTTATTATTATTATTATTATTATTATTATTATTATTATTATTATTATAATTATTATTATTATTATTATTATTATTATTATTATTATTATTATTATTATTATTATTATTATTATTATTATTATTATTATTATTATTATTTTAAAATTCAGAGCCCCAAAGGTGTAATTGGTTCACACTGCATTAAATGTATTAATTAAAGCACCCATCCGCTAGAGTATTGAAAAGATGCAAAGAATTTGAATTTTACAAACAGCCAATATAATCAGACAATATCAGGTCAACAAAAACAATCAATGTATAAGGAATAAATAGATAAATGTTGAAGAAAAATTGTATCATGTGTAAATCCATTTTAGTGATCTACTCGAGATTCAAAGCACTTGATGAGAAGATTAATGTTTTTTATGACATTCATGCCACAGAACATCCAAGAATTATTGATGTATACTCTCAATTGCTAAAATAGTATATTGTGTAATATTTATTAAGATATTCTGATGCATACAACATAAATAAATCGTACTTGTATTTACGATAATTCATACATTCGTGTGAATTATTGTGTAATTAAATACGCATACACCAATAATTATTTCTGTTCATCTAACTTTATTGGCACAACAGCAAAAATAAAACAAGTTTAAAACAACAATATTGTAACGGTCGATCAATTACTACCAAATTCCTTTCCTGGTTCAAGTAACAGAAAAAAATTAAGTTTGAGTACATCTGAAATTATAATATCAAAA